ATGCGCAACGAAAAGCCAGCCATGCCAGCTCCGGAGGAAAGGCCTCCGGCCGAGCCCCCGGATCCGCCGCCAGTGCCACCACCTGTTTAAGCACCTCCTGCACCCGCACCAGCGGTGCCCGAACATCCTGATGACGAGCGCAGACTTGTCGATTTTGCAGAAGGTGGTGAGCTTCGTGATGAACCTTGGCTTCGGGCCGAAGCCAGTTCACCGGAACACCAACCCCAAGAATCCCTTCTGCAAGATAGAACACCTCAATGCGTGTCGCACGAAAACCAGGGGGGCGGAGTGACGATCTTCTCGACGCACCCACCGCTCCCTACCAGCAGCTCGCTACTGATAGAGTGATCTTGGCGAAAGGCGATGAACACGTTGGCATCGGCATAGGCGGAATAAAATCCCACCATGTCGTCAAGGATGTGTTTTCCGGCGCATGGGTCGCATATCCGGTCTCTAAGAGAGACATTCCGTCGCACGCAAGGAATCTCAGGCATTTCATTGGCCTCAGAGCCAACGAACTCGCTCCACACTGTCTCATAAAAATGGATGAAGCTGGAGAGTTGCAGGGAGCGGCCGAGGAAGTAGGGATGATCCCCGAAACCTCGTTGCCGAATCGCTGGCCACACAACTCCGAGCTCGAGCGAGATGTCCGAGAGGAGAAGGAGTGTTGCAGGAGCATACACCATCAATCGGGTTTGCCCTACTCTCTGCACACGCACTCCTATTCCTTTGCATGCCTCTCTATGTTTTTCGACCGACCGTCCACGTTCGATCCGACAAAGACGCCATGGGAAGCGCTCACCAAGGAGAAGTTCGACGGCGTCCGCTGTTGCTTCGGACAACTCGTTTGGTATCGCCTAAAGTCAGCTGGAAAGAGAACCCTAGAACCCAACATGGCCCCAGGCTTGTTTATGGGTTGGCGTATCGATCCAGGGATGCGATATCGAAGGGTGCTAAAAGTTATGGACTACCAAAGTTTCAGGACCAATGGAAATGTTACTGTCCATGATGTGCCCGAACCTGAGTTGTTCGTCGAGGAAGGCGGCCCCGTTTTCCCGATCGCGGCCGCTGCCGATCGAGCCCTGCGAACAGGCGATGGCGAGGTTCCTGAGTATGCCATCAGAGATGTTCCTTTCATTCCTGAAGGCATCCCAGCCCCGTCAACTCCGTCAGGCTTTAAGTCACGAAGTGTGTGCATCACCATTGAACGGATTGTAAAGTTCAAGGAGACTCCTGGATGCAAGGCCTGCACCGGCCATGCTAGCTCCCAGAGCTAGTTGAAAGTGAAAAGGAAGAGGCAAAGGCCAAAAAGGCCGCAAGTGAGGAGGCCACCAAACCAAGTAAGGGTGCAGATGAGGCAGCTGCTATACGCGCTGCAAAGGCGTCCTCCCTAGAACCCCCAGAAGCCCCAGAGATCGAGGCACCTGAGGAGGGAGACCCCGATATCGTCCGTGCCTTGCTTGGAGAGCCCGCCTCTTCTCCGGCCCCGTGTTCCGCATACCGACGCTGTCCCCGCATCCACCAAGAAGGATGAATGGGTTTATAAGCCTAGTGGTAACGTGTTAATCCGCGTGCATCATCAGCCTAGGATTAAACTTTTCACTCCCAAGGATGTCGGTGATTGTCCCGTGTCAGCGTGCAGAATCGCACCCGGTAGGACCACTCGCGTTGTGTCCCAGCAAGATGGTAGCAAGGAAGATATCAGTGATGGTTGGGCAGGCAGATTCTCAGCACATCGAGAACTGCCTGTGTTCTGGACTGGCATAACCATTTTTAGGTTATATAGCGATTCCGAGCATTCGGCTGCAGCTTTAAGCGCAGCAGGGGGGCTCAGTCCTCACGAGGGTAACATCCCAGTCAGCTCAGGAGCAGCCGTCACCGTGTCAACCGCATCCAGCACAACACTTGCTGAGACCACGAAAGAGAAGCCATCCGTTTTCGGTAACCCTTGTCAGCTTCAGGGGGGCAATGAACGCCCTCCGTTACCGTTGGCAACAAGCGTGCTCGCAAGCGCCTAGCGCGTGATGCTGTTGGCCCGATTTTTGAATTTGCTTGTTCACCTAATTCCTCAATGGGTAATGTGTTCAAGGATTTCAACATCCCACATGTCCGATTAGCAAAGGAGTACATTGACTTAGAGTCAGCCGTTGCGGATGAGCAGCTCGCGTATCAACTCTCACAGTGCGTCCGACCCAACTTGTGGGCAGCCATTCCATGTGTCTCAGGATCACCTTGGCAGAGGCTGAACCTCCACAGGTTAGGAAAGCCGTTTAAGAAAAAGTTAGGGGAAAAAGTCAAGCAATCCAAAGTGATGTTTTCAAAGTTTGCATTGCGCGCAGAGCATGTTTTGAAGGCTGGTGGATCAGTCACTTTCGAGTGGCCACGTGACTGCGAAGGCTGGCAGAGGCCAGATGTAGCCGAGTTTTTCGAACGCCGCAAGGATGTGTTCCATGGGGTTTCGTTTCATGGCTGTGCTGTTGGTTTGACGGATGAAAATGGTTCACCCATCAAGAAGCCTTGGCACATCAAAACTACATCAAAGACCCTTGCCGAAGCATTCGCTGATCGCCAGTGTCCGCACTCAAAGTCCGAAAAACATACTCCAGCGGCAGGGAGCCGAACCTCCCTCACTGCATTCTACCCTGAACAAATGTGTGGTTTGATCGCCAAAGCGTTGTATCCCAAAGTTTGTAGGACTCCGGTTCAAGCAATGCCTGTTGTTCCAGTCACTCAGCAGACGGAGCATCGTGTTAAGGAGCAATCCCTAAAGCACGAATCTCCTCTTTCCGGAGCAGATGACTTCACCCTCCTCATTGAATCAGACTCTAAGACAAAAGAGATTGTTGAGGAACTCCTTGATGTCCAAGGTCTACTTGCCAATGCTGTCGGCATGCCCGCCAAGGCTGTTGAAACAGAAGCGCATGCAATGGTCACTAAACTCCTGTCCCGTGCTGAGATGCTTGCATCTCCTGAAGCATTGGAAGCGATCAAGCAGGAGGCGACCGGACTCCAAGACCTCGGAGTATGGGATAGTTCAACTGTCCGAGAAAAGGCTGAGGTCGCAGCTCAAGCGCGACAGTCTGGGATCAAGGTGCACTTTGGTCAGCTCATGACGATCGCCAGCATCAAGTTCTATGAACTTGCGAAGCACCTACAAAAGGTAAAGGGGCGCACCGTGTTCAGGGGAGACTGTGCAAAAGATGAAGCCGGTGCACCCGCGGTGTACCAAGAACTGGGGGCAAACCCCACCTCGGTACAAGGTCTAAACGCCTGTCTGGCGTATGGGTGTATCCCAGGACACACGGTCACCACCGCTGACGCGGTGAAAGCCTACGTCCAGGCGTTCCTTAGCTCGCAGTTTCAGACGTGGATCGAACTCCCGCCTGAGCTGCGTTCAAAAGTTCGTAAAACCCGTGGTCTCCCTATATGGTCACCCTGACGCAGGAGGTCTGTGGGAGGCACACCTTAAGAAACTGCTCAAGCAGCTGGGAGGGGAAGAAATCCCAGAGTTTCCTGGAAACTTTTTCTTTAAAGGGGTAGGCCGTATGCTCTCGACTTACGTCGATGACTTGACCCTCTCGGGTCCCGCAGATGCACATGAAGCTTTTTGGGAAAAGGTTACAAAAATGATAAATGTAGAGCCCCGAGCCGATCTTTCGGGTGCTCGGGCGTAATCATGTCTTTATGGACGCTCCCGCAGAGCCTCAAGAACATGATCTGAATGCAGCTGTAAGCGCATTAAAGGGTGCCGTTGCTTTTGACATGAACGGCTATGCCCGTCAAACCGTAGAACTGTTTTGTTCTATAACCGGCACTCAGCCCGAGAAGCTCCGGAAGGTAACTACTCCATTCTGCCCAGACGGATCACTTCCTCCTGAAGATGATCAGTCAGCTGGTGAGCTAGCCCCGAGCGCGTGCAAACTCCTCATGAAGGCCTTATGGCTGGGACGACTAGCGCGTCCTGACATCATCAAGCCCATACATAGGTGACTTAGCAACCGCCGTGCAGAACTGGTCTCGCAACCACGATAGGCAACTCGCCCGTCTCATTGCGTACATCCACTCGACTACGCACTACCGGTTGGTAGGAGTCATAAAGGACAACCCGCAAGATCTTCACCTCGCTCTGTATGCGGATGCCGACTATGCTGGAGAAAGGGATGCGAAGTCCACGTCCGGTGGCTTCTTGGTCCTCAAAGGACCAAACACCCATTTTCCTTTAGCGTGGTTGAGCAAACGACAAACAACAGTGTCGAGATCCACCACCGAAGCCGAGGTCGTTTCGCTCACATTCTCCTTGTATCAAGAGGGCCTTCCCTCCTTGACCTTGTGGGAACGTTTGCTTGGGCGCCCCGTCGAGTTGGTGCTACATGAAGATAACCAAGCCACTATCCTCGTTGCCAAGAAAGGTTACTCCCCAAAAATGCGGCACATACAGCGCACTCATAAAGTGAACTTGTCCGCACTTGCTGAGCAACTTGAACCCGGCACGGGCGTAGTGATCCGGCCTGAGATGACCAAGCAGTAACGTAAATGCAAAATCATAGGTAAGCCCTCTTCATGGTCTGGTAAAGGACCTTGCATCACATGGGTCGCAGCTCAAGCGCGACTGCAGAATACAAGCCTCTTAGTGAGCACGGGGAGGGGAGTTGAATAATCACGACCCCTTGACCCCCAAAGAGGTACCCCAGAAGGGTGTGCATGCATGTGATGTTGGAGGCCCCTTTGCCTGCATGGATACACGTCGAACGGCAATGCCCGTTTGGCTCAAGACCAATGACCATCATTAAAACAGGGTTTGCGCTCGCCTACCGGACTGGGGTTAATAAGGGCCCCGGTTTCTGGTTCGCTGTGTTTCTTTCCCTGTTCAGTATACGGAGCCTTAAACAAGAATTTGGCCCGGCTCTGCCCTAAACGGGCGTGCCTTAGAAAATGGCCCGCACCTCGCGTCCGCGAACCTCTTGCCTTTCCAGGTCCCACGTCTCTTTTCGATGCCCGAG